CTGCAACTGAGGAGAATGAAACTCCAAATCATACTGCAACTTAGGAGAATGAAACTCCAAGATTCATAGAAAGAATGACACTTTCTGCTTTAAATTGACAAAAAAAAAAAAAAAAAAAAAAACTAATACTTGCAGAGATCAACACATCAAGACCACAACTTCACTTCAATTAAACCTCGAAAGTACATCAAAGACCACAGCTTCAAGAAATAAGCGTTGCAGATCACCAAACAATTCCAAATGACTGCTATCAACACTTCGATGATCTATCGCACAACCCATATACCATAATTCATTTACCAATTCAGAAAAACACATAACCAAAATCCCAAATCAAATTCGAGAAAAGTATCCAGAGGAAGAAAATATGGGCAATTCGTCAAACACTTAGGCTGCACATAGTCTAAACGTTCTGCCATACCAGAAAACAGAGCACGGATCAAAATCACAGAAATCGAAGTCAGAAAACTGCTCTGAAAACACCACCAAGATGACTGAAGAAGTAGATAATCAACAGTGCAAAGAAAGCAAACTCTGCTGAATCATATATGCCATCACGCTGCAGCCACAGGAACTGGGGGCTCCTCGAGTTCGTCAGCCTTTCCCAGCAAAATCACCAACTGAAAGCAATCTAACCATAGCAACAGGGATTTGTCTCAGGGAAATGAACCGATCAAAGTATGTCATGCACAAATATGCTGTTCTAGGATGAAATCCAAGACCCGTTCTTCTCTGGAGAACCCATGTGATGGATTCCAATCAAGCGTCCAAAACCCAGGCGGGAATCACCAAATCTTCGTCTTTCTCAAACCCAAATTCGATCTCTCTGTGGATTAAGTTCTGCAACTGCTCTTCTTCCAATGCAAACGCCATCGTAATGGTTGTTGAGATTGCGGAATGCTTTGTCTTCTACAAAATCTCTGTTGAAGAGAAAGCTGTGACTTTCTCGGCAAGATGAGTCCGGCGATAAAGGATCACTATTTTGGTTTCTTTAGGAACAGAGTCGGATAATACAATCCCAGGACTGAATAATCCGAGATTTAGAGAGAGAAAGAATGGTTGACCAGCAAGACTGAAGCCCAGAAAATTCGCACTGAGACATTATCACAAACAGTTGATATGCTGGAAAGAAAACCAGTAATCGAAAACAAAACCTGAGAACTTGAATCTTGAAAACCCAGCTGTACGAAAACTCGCTTCTTCAAACCAGGAAGCTCCCGGAAACCCAGCTGTGGTTGTGCCGTTGGCGAAGGGCGGTGGGGATGAAGATCCACAAAACGGATCTGGAATGAGAATCCGAGTCGGTGTCGAAGAACCCGTCGTCGATTCCGAAAATGAAGAACCCAGATGCAGAAAATATGAACAATATCACCTGATACGAATCAGATTCCGGCAAGCGTCCACCAGAGTGCCACCGCTGATGTACTCCAGAAGCAAGAACCAAGTTGTAGAACTTCTCGCCGTTCTCGACTGAGTGATCGGCGCCGAAGCAGCGGATGATTTGTGGGCAGGAGCCGATTTGGTCGAGAATTTGCTTCTCGTTCTTGAGCAAATTAGAGTAGACACCTTCACGGCCACCAGCGGCTGAAGATGAGAATATGGGTTGGTGGGTTTTGCTGTGTAGATGGTGACAAAGCTTCCCCGGCCGATTTCGTTACCTCGAATCCACTCCATGGATATAGGGAATAAAGAACCATCGAGCAGCCAGAGATCCTAGAAGAAAACCCATTTAAGAAAACCCAGAAGAAAAATCCAGAGACCAAACAAAAGATAAGAACTATGAATATGCGGAAATGAAAGAAAGTAATGAAGAAAGATAGAAGCGGAAATCAACCACCAAGATCCATGGCGTGAGCCTTGGTGGCTCTGATACCATAATAACTACATTGTAAAAGATGGAGAATTTGTACAAAGGAAGATGAAGATGATAGAGAGAAAAACCAGAAAGATTGTATTGATTAAAATGGAGAAAATGTATACAAAAGAACTTAAGGAAAATGATAGCTATACAATCTCTTATATAGCCATATAACCTAATTATAATAATACCCTTCTAACTATACTAACCAATCTTATCCTTATGACAACCTACCAACACATTTCAACTAACTATATTCTTCATTACTAAGTAACCATGTCATCACTAATGACTATGGTTAATAATAACATCACCGCTCCAATTTCTTTCAGTCTCTCCGTTCTAAGAACAGATGCAGTGTTCCTTTGCTCCTGATGAACACACCAACGACACATGAACATGCTAAGAAGTTATGCTGATTGCGAGATGCTCTGTAAGGAGAGGGTCTTGATTTTGTATATTTTGGCTTTAAGGGGTCTGTTCTCGTTCGTAGTAATCTCGATTTCGATGACGGAATTGGTTGGGCCAAGGTTGTACAGCTGCTGCAATTTCCGAAACCATGTTGCCCTTCACGACGATGTCGTTTCAAAAGCCTTTCAGGTGAACATAGGTTGAGTATGGAAACATAGGTTGAATATGGAAAATGCAGTGAATGGAGAGGAGGGGAAAGAAATGATTGAAAGTGGTTTATATTTTTTTTATTATTAATATATTTTCTGTCGGTTTTATTCGACAAGAATACTTTTATTTATTTATTATTAATAAATTTTTTGTCGGTTATATCTGACACAAGTTGTGTCGGTTTTAGTATTTTCTGTTGGTTTTATCCGACAGAGAGTGCTCTTATTTATTCATTATTAATATATTTTCTGTCAGTTATATCCGAGACAGAGAATATTTTCTGTCGGAAAATTCATTTCCTGATGCTAACAATTCTGTCACTTATTATATCCGTCATTGCATCCATTTTCTGTCGGATTTTGCATAGCGACACTAATAAATGGTTTTGTAGTGGTGAGGCAGAGAAGAAGTGGATCTTCGAGATCAAATCCAAATCTCAAAAGTTGGCGGGGCTTCTCCGCCAACTCCGCAGTTCCCGCCTCTCCGGCCCTGATATCTTCGACCGCCCCATACGGTACATCCTCGAGCTGGTCGAACTAATCCTCAACGATTTCAATCCAGGCTGATGAAGAACTCTTATGCTCACATCATCATCAAGATCATCAACCATTTCAACATCACGTGTTTCGTGCCCCACGGCATCAACCCTTTAAGGCTCAGGGATATGTTGATGCAGCTCGAAAATGTAATTGGCGACGTGTCGTGGCTGACCATCCTGCTTAGTTCTGTGAATAGTGAGGACATGGACTGGTCTCAGCTTAACCATGTATCACGTGAGCCACTTCTGTTCCTGATTTGGGAAAAAATTGCTCTCCTTGCTGACACGCGTAATTCGTTCCAAGTTCGATCAGAAGCAGCAGCTACACTTGGTGAGATATCTCGGCACGATTGCGAACATAGCATCATTGAAGAAGGGGGAGTTGAACCCTTGTTGAAATTCGTGGGAGAGGGTCCAATCGAAAGCCAAGAGAATGCTGTCCGGACTCTGGGGTCACCCGGACATGCCTGGGAAAGCGTCGAACGCGTGATCCTTGCTGATGCATGCAAAGTGTGTGCAATAATCCTCCGAGAAGGTCCGATGAAAGTTCAGGCTGCTGTGGCTTGGGCGGTGTCAGAGTTCGCAGCTAGACACCCCAAATGCCGCGATGTTTTCGTACAGCATGATGTAGTCTACTGGCTCTTGAGCCATCTAGCATTCGAAACTGTTGAAGTAGATAGTAGCCATGCCACGAGCAAAACCAATAGTAATGTCAATGGCAATGAAGACCCTGCCACCAAGGCTGAAATGAAAGCTATGGCGACCAGAGCCCTTGCCAAACTAGCCAAGGGGAACTCAGCCATTGTTCCTAGCATCGGAGAATCAAGTGTCCTCTTAATTTTAGCCGTGAACCTAGAAAAGGGTACCAAAGATGTTCAACTGCAATATGGAGATCACTGCGGTTGCTGAGGAGGATGCTGAACTGAGAACATCTGCCTTGTATCGTAATTCTCCGGCTCGGAAATCTATCGTTGATCAATTAGTAATAAAGATCACCGATGAGAAGGAAGATCCGGAGCTCCTGATCCCGTGCATTAAAGCTGTTGGGAATTTAGCAACAACATTTGAAGCAACAGACACAAGGATGATTGTCGACCCTCTTCTGCGACTTTTACATGAAACAAACAATTTCGTTACGAAAAATGCTTGCATTGCCCTCACAAAATTTGCATGTACAAGCAACTATTTTCACGTTGAGGTTTCCATGGCAATAATAATTGCTGGAGCAGCTACGCAATTGATCCGACTTTTTTATTTTGGGCATTGGAATGTTCAGCTTCATGCCTTGGTTCTCATATGTTACATTGCGATTCATGTGCCTGGGAGTGAAGAGCTTGCCCAGGCTAAGGTGCTCGCCATGCTTAAATGGGCGCCCAAGCATCATTATTTTACCGACCATGAAAAATTGAACAAATTATTCTACGCTGCACTGGATGTACCAGAAAATGAAGTTGCTGAGGCTGAAGCTTGCGTGCACGCCACGTATGGATGGGAGTTGCAACGATCTTATATGACCCCAGCTGAAACACTCTACACACTCTTACACAAGGCTACAAGTACTTTGGATCTTTATCATTTTCAAAGTTCTAAAAGATGTTAGGCGCTAGTCAGGCGGCATTGTCTTAAACCTAAAAACGAATGTCATATAATCTCTTATGACTAATTAGGCTTTGGTTAGATCATCTAGGCTACATTCTAGGATCTCAAGTAGTCTATTTTCATAAAATGTTGAGCTAAATTTTCATTATCTTCTAATAAGACTTGAGTCAGACGTAAGACTAGAAATACTTCAATGCGTGACAAATCTTCCGGGATGTTGTAGGATGCGAGTGTTGGTTTATCAGCTATACCATGCCGATCGACCAACTACTCACATCCTGCAATATTGAATCTAATATTGGAGAAAACACCTGCATAAAGGCAGGTTGTTTCTTTTCTTTTGTCATACGAAATTAGAAAGACAGAAAAAAGAGAGATGAGAAGGGCAGAATTAAGAATTAGTAGTGACTGAGAATGGTAAAAACCGTAGCTTGGTGTTCTTTTCTTTTGAGCGTCGGTAAGGAGCTTTACTTTACAAGAAACTAGGGAAGCCTTACGCACCATTTCTAGCCTGACCAAATTTACAATCACAACTTTTTAACTCAAAAACAAAAATATTACAATCAGAAAGCAGATCCAAAAAATAAAAGTATACAATCTGAAGAGAGAATATCAAATGGGATATTTGACACGGAATCATAATCTATACGCGAATGGAATTGGACTCGATGAAATTTCTGTACTGGGTGATCAATCTTGCAAAAGCTTACACAAGAGACCTGAAACTTTCTGACCAAAAGTGAGATTTCCGCTTGGTGAGAGTGTCTCGCGGTGCAAACCTGAGACCAAACATCTCCTTGAATGCTTGTTCGGGCTCTACTGAACCTACCAACTTTGCAACAATTGTGGCACTGTCCATGATATGGTCCAGGTTTTGTGTGTTACTCCACAGGAGGTTTGCCAATTGCAACCGCCTATGCTTCGAGTGTAGACTGATACCCCACTTTAGGTAGAGGTTATTTCTTTCATCCTCAGACAGTCGCCTTCGCATTTGCTTGCTCAGCATGTGTCTCTCACTAGTCAAAGCCTTCATGCTATTTACAGAATAAAACATGTTTTAAGCCGACCAATGCAGGCAATATGTAACAAAGTTAAAACATATCGTGAGTGTCTGCAACCTTCTATTCTAGATCGGTGATAACGAACTTACCTTGAAGCGGGTGTTAGAGTTTGGCCATCTTCCAGAGTCTGATTTCCACGCGAAAATGTGTCTTTGAGGAAGGACAATCTCCTGACCTCAACCTCCATGTAAATCGAATCACTTGGGTCACCTTTAAATAGGAGGAAGAAGTAAGTCCTGTGAACCAATGACACATTGCAGGCATCCCAAAGTTCAATGATCTCTCTTTGCAGCTTGTTGAATTCTGAAGGCCACCTTGAAGGGCTTTCGTCATCAATGGGCATTGGGTCCAAGCCAACATCTTTTACATCCTTTGGAGACGGTATGGGCATTGAATCCGTCTCCGGTACCTGCAACACGAGACAACCCATGTTAGAACTATAATTAATCAGATTGTCTACAACTTCTCTTTTTTTTATTTGTGATGCAATATAATGAAAATCACTCACCACAGAATCAGCAAGTTGAGTATTGCATTGTGTATTGGTCGTTTCCTCTGCTCCTTCAACTAAAGTACTGCTTTCAGTTACCTTGTCATCAGTTGTGGATTTTGTATCCTGTGCTTTACGCTCATCAATAGCAGCACTTCTTGCAGAAGCCTGAGAAGCATTTCTTGATAGCCTTTCAGTCTCAGCACCATAGTTCAGAGAAGGAAGTTTCTTTTGGAAACCCTCGGGCCTTCCTATAAATTTTTTCTCAAACTCAATAGCAGGTGTGCTCTCATTCTTCTCTACCAACTCAAGCCACCATGGAGACGAATTATTCATAAGCCTTGCTTTGCAGCTTCTACTCCTCCTCAACATCACAACAGAGGGGCAAAACATTTCTTTCTCGGGCAGCCATTGAGGTGTCCTTTCAGAAGAAGGAACTACAAAACCTTTTTGTTTAGGTAGGGGTGACTCCAATTCCTGATTTGTGCCATCTCCATTTTCAACTGTGGTCAGTCCTGAGGTAGCTGTGTTTGCGAAAGGAGACGACATATTTGAGTTTTGGTATCTACTAGCACTTGAATCTGATATATTTGACACTATGTATCTGTTTGTGCCAGACTCTTCCATTTCAATGCAGCGAACTTCCTTGCAGAAATCCTCTGAATTTCCATCAAACTGTTCTTTGCTTTCCTCTTGATGCAGATTACCGTCAACAAAATTAGGAATGCCATCTGATAACTGCCGGGAGGAATCAGTGTGCATGAAATTCTCTTCCAAGTCAGGAAGTTGGAACAGAGTCTCCTCTGAACTAGTCCTACTGTCTCCATCAGAACACTGAGAGGTGCCAAAAGAACTCACACTGTTTGCTCGGCCACGAGAGACGGCCCGAACAGGCGCACCTGCCATTTTCATTTCAAAGTCCCATGAAACTTGCCCGCGCAATTTGGGGTAATAACGTTCCAGATCCTCCTACAATTATATGAAAAGAAATTCAACTTAGCACAGACGGAGAAAATTGTAGTGAAATAAAATTCTTCAGTTTATTTTAGTACACATACTTCTGATGGTTTATCATCTCCAAGCACTCGCACCAGATCCTTAACCTGAGATTGAGCAAGGTCTCGTTGCTGAGTTAGCTCCGATACCTCTTTTTTGAGCTGCATAATGAATAAATAAAACCAAAAGTTTTAGACAAGAAGAAGGAGCCTGAATCATGAATAGGAAAAACTGTACTATGCCTCATACATATGAGAACCACGGATCAAAGGACAATCAAATTGCCATGGTTTCTAACAAGGTGAGCACAAGTGAAGATGTTCAGAGATTTCTGCATGAGAGGACTCGAGAATCATGACCCATGACTACAAGTAACTAGCATCGATAAACATGCTTCATCAAATTGTGCAAAGACGAGAAAGAAAATATTTGTAGGTAACTGCATATCAAAGAGTATAATTCACCTCGGCTTTCCATAGTTGGAATAACCTGGCTTTTAAATTTTTTCGTGAATCCGTGATTTTTTCGTAAATTTTTTGCAAATGCTTCACCAATGCTTTATCCGACATGACCACGTTAACTTGTGCGCTTGTTGTCACTTCTTTAGCACAGCTCGCAAATAAGAGGGTATTTCTTGATTGCTCAACATGGCTATGTGCAGGACTCATGGTACAGATGATGGCAGTTCTAGCATTTCCTCCCAACGAGGACTGCAGTATGCGGGTTAGCTTTGAATCTCTGTAAGGAACATGCCCACTTCTTCCCTTGCTGCGTGAAACCACAGTATTGAACAATTTCGTAAAAATTCTTATTATGCTAGAACTTCATTTTACATGAACTAATACAAAGAATCAATGGGAATAATAAGACTCGACATTTCAATTGCACAAAGTAGAATAAATTTTTGCAAAGACCATAACTGAGAAAATGAAAGACAAGCTACTCAAGCTGACCTGAGCTTACGGATAACAGTGCCTAGAGTTAGTAAACTGCGATTTATGTGGCAACCCTCTTTCAACCTTGCTCCAGCTGATAACGTCTGGCTGACATACCATGGCTGTTGCTCTGTTTTGTTTGTTGCGCCTTACTTGAACTTCTTCATCAGACTCCTCATCTTCTCGTCTCATTTGAGCCCATTTTGCTTCCAATTTGGAATTGGATGAGGACCCCCAGTTGGAATCCGAAGAGGATCCAAAGTTGGAATTCATTGCAAACTTGAATTGAAAGAGATTGAATTGAAATAGATTGAATTCAAAGTTGTGTGAATTATAGCCCAATATCCACCATATTTATAGAAAAAAAGAATTCAAATCCAACAGCTAGCTGACGTCATGCTAAATCACTTAGCCATTGGATTTGAATTTAAGTGGTAGTTTTTAAATAATAAATTATGTTTGGCCCTCAGTTGGAGACGGAGGCAAATATGGCAATGTATTGTTCATTAAAATATTAATGTCTTGGACGACCAAAGGACTAAAACGAGCCCTCTTGCCAGCCCTCGGTTAATGATGGCCTTAGGTTGGAGATGGTCTAAGGTACTCAGAAAAATGTCACCTCATAAGTGAAGGAAACATTTTGTCCTAGCTAAGAACAAGTATGAACATTTGAATACACATGCAAGCTATTAACACTTTAAAGTAGGCATGCATCCAAAAACAATTCATAAAACCCATGACTTTCAAAGCCTAGTATATGGTGAACCAATAAACTCTATAACAACATTAAAAGAGAAGTAAAGATTTTTTTGACCCTTGAGCTATCCTTGTTTACACAAGGGATTCACCCAAGTGGAGGGCCTTCAAGTCACCTCCAAGCTCCTTGGATCCTCCTTGTGTTATCCTCCCTTTAGTGCTCCTTTGAAGATTTGAGGAAATGAGGATTTGTTCTCCAAAACACCAAAAGTTTGATGTCTCTAAGTCTTTTCACCAAGGATGTATCTTGTGAAGATGATATGGATGACTTAGGGAAGGAGAGATTGCTAGATGTGCCTCCCTTTAGTGGCCGGCCTCTTGGAGAAAAAGGAGAGAAAATGTTTCACCCAATTTCAACAAGAAAACCCTTAATGAAAACAAAGCTATAAAGTTGAATTTATACTTCATTACAAGTGAGTGGCAAACTTGTAATTAATCCAAGCTTGCCCATTCACCCTAATGGCCGGCCATATTAATGTTATTGGGCTATTTGCCCATTTTGTTTTAGTTGTCATACAACTTAAACATAATGGGCCTTTTGGACCAAAACGCTTTTGGGCCCCGAAACCCAAAACCAACATATAAGCCCAATACGAACCTTTCGTAAAATTAATTAACTAATTAATTAATCTTGACCATTCTTCAATTAAACCATTTAATTGCTTATCCATTTCATTTAATTTCTTCACATACATCCTTACTCGGTGTACGATCCATTAGGTTCCAATTAGCGAGGCAGTGGGCGATGTTACTCTTAACGATCGATTGTGAATTGAAACCACATTTCAATTCTCCCTTTGATGATTAGTGTTTGCTAATCATTAGGGCTTCCACAAACCATGAGTGACACCTAGCAGTATGTCATGGTTACCCAAGCTAAGTAGAATTGGTTGGAGAACCTATCCAGTTACAACTACAATGCAATACGGTCCTTCTCTAATACAATACTCTTAATCACATTGTTTAAGTGATAGTTTGTTTCATGTCTACTATCCAATGTGATACTTTCCTATATGATTCCCTTGAATATGATTTGGAACAAACTTCCTAAGTCATATTCATTTGCTTTGGCCAAAGACTTTAGAATCATATCTTAGAGTATTCTCCTTCCACCATGGAAGGTTAGAGATCCCTTGTTGTGCATTCATATGCCTACATGACTAGATAGCTTGACCCCAACAATGTCCGTGGACACTCCGAGGGAATGCCGTTGACATGATCAAAGATCAAGGACCTAACCATTAGACATCTATGATGCCTCAGGTCAAAGGACTACTTTGCATATTGCAACTTTAGAGTTCATACATGACATGTATGTTCGAACTCTCTTTTGATCGTAGTTCAGTGTACTCGATTACTCTTTCGAGCACCTATGTGTTTGTCTTAGTGTCCAACACCAAATGACTTGAGACTAGTTCATACTCACGTTTGAGTCAACATAACACATACTAACCTTAGCGGATTGTCAATGCCCAATTGGCAATCCTATGGCTAGGAACGTTTTAGGAATGAACATAAGAGAAAGGTCTCGTTAATCTAACTTACTTAGATTACTTATCTCTTAGATCAAATACATTCCTTGGATTCTCTTATTGCTTAAACACATGATACAATAAATAGTGATTAACAATAAGCTTTGCCCTTCCATTAAACATATAAAAGTTCAATACAATAAGTATTCCAAAAGCTATTACATCAAATGAGTGGCTTTGTGGGCATACTTCCAACAATCTCCCACTTGCACTCAAAGCCATCCTCTCATGTATCTAATACCCATCTTATCCATATGACGACCAAGCTGGATTTGAGACATTGGCTTTGTCAGTGGATCTGCTATGTTATCGGCTGAAGCAACTTTGAGGATATTGATTTTCCCCCCGCCAGCATATCTTCTTATGATATTAAAGCGTCTGTCAAAATGCTTGTTCTTTTGATGTGCCCTGGGTTCCTTGGCTTGAGCTATCGCCCCACTATTATCACAGTACAAAGTTACTGGTGATGTAATGGTTGGAACCACTTCAAGTTCAGTGATGAACTTCTTCATCCAGAACGCTTATTTGCCGGCTTCAGCTGCAGCGACATATTCAGCCTCTGTCGTGGAATCAGGAATTACACTTTGCTTCTTGCTTTTCCAACTGACAGCCCCACCATTCAGAGTGAATACATATCCGGAGTTGGAACTTCTATCATCGATGTCAGATTGGAAATCTGCGTCTGTATAGCCTTCACTCGCAACTCTGATGCTCCTCCATACACGAGGAACATGTCCTTAGTTCTTCTTAAGTACTTAAGGACCATCTTGACAGCTGCCCAGTGTTCTGATTCTGGGTTAGATTGATATCGACTAGTAATGCTCACATCATATGCAATATCTGGCCTTGTGCATATCATGGCATACATGAGACTTCCTATGGCAGAAGCATAAGGAATATAACTCATTTGCCGTATCTCTTCAGGAGTTTTAGGTTCCATGGACTTAGAAAGGTGAATTCCATGTCTAACAGGAAGAAAACCTTTCTTAGATTGTTCCATCTGGAACCTACTTAGCACCTTATCAATGTACATAGATTGGGATAATCCAATTAATTTTCTGGATCTATCACGATAGAGCTTTATCCCAAGTACATAAGATGCATCTCCTAAATCTTTCATGTGGAAGGTTTTAGACAACCACACTTTTACAGAAGAAAGTATTGCAGTGTCATTCCCGAATAGTAATATGTCATCTACATATAACACTAGGAATACAACTGCATCCCCAACGACCTTTTGATAAACACAATTGTCGTCTTCGTTTTGAGTAAAACCAAACGTTTTGATTTCAGTGTCGAAACGAATGTTCCAGCTCCTGGAGGCTTGCTTAAGTCCATAAATGGACCTTTGAAGCTTTCATACCTTAGTCTTTTCAGACTTGGACACGAAACCTTCAGGTTGAGTCATATAGAGCTCTTCCTCTAGGTAGCCGTTCAGAAAGGCCGTCTTCACGTCCATTTGCCATATCTCATAATCATGGTACGCAGCTATAGCAAGCAAAATCCGAATGGACTTAATCATGGCTACAGGAGAGAAGGTTTCTTCATAGTCAATCCCTTCTATTTGCCTGTAACCCTTGGCTATTAATCTAGCCTTATAAGTCTCC